GTGCGGCCGCGGGGCCGCCCCCGGAGCGGTTACTTCAGCGAGCTGCTTACGCGAGCATTTTGCAAGAAAGGGGGGCCAAAAAAAGTTGTGCGTGTTCTTTTTTAGTCCCGTGTGGGGGCTGGAAGCGAGGCCCGGAGAGCCGCGGCCCGGGGAGAGGGACAAGGGGCGCTGGGGCGGCCTCGGGGGGGCCCTCAGCCTGCAGCCGGCCCGGCGCCCCCTTCACTCCCTGCGCGGGGCGCTCATCGCCCGTGCAAGGGCCGGTTTTGTGCAGCCTGCTTAGGTCGCTGGCGTGCTAAGGGCAGGCAAATGAGGAGGTTTTGTCTTCCCTGTTAACCAGCTTTTAATCTGCCGTGGGCACTGTATTTGGCACCGGAGTTGACGGGTCGGGCGGTAACGGCCTGGCCGAGGGGCTAGTGGCGCACAGCGTGGGCAGATGCCAAATTTCTGCGGAAAAAAACTACCAACAGATCGGTCATTCCTCTGACCCGGCAGATGGCGACTTTTCCGACCAGCTCGAGCTGCCTAATCCAAAGAATCCATTTAATTTCTCACCACTGATTGAGGATGAAATTAGTTTTTAAAGTCGGGGGGCCAAGGAGGGGGAGGGCGCCTACTCAGGCCTCTGGGAAGCGCCGCCTGGTTGGCTCCAGTAATTGCAACCAATAGAAGCCGCCTCGGGCTTGTCTCCCAAATGCGCCCCCTCAGGGCGGAAGGCTGATCCTGTGGCGTCCCCCAGGGGGACAGGCTGCCATTTTGCAGGGTTGTCCTTTCACTGCTGTCCCCACCTCCAAGGGGATACTCCGGGGCAGGGGGATTGGCGCAGAGAAGTAGCCCCGGAGTTTCCAGAGAAAACGCATGTGACTATCGGCAAACACAGAGGAGGAGACGGGTGCCCTGGAGTCAGCCCTGCTCTCAAGAATTTCCCTTGCAGCAGAGAAACAGGCCAACCAAGTACATAAAGCGGAGTAAGACGGTGATGGAGTGACTCTAACAAAAGGATGTTTAGACAAGGCCTCCGACAAGGTGACACATGAGCTGGAAAGGACAGAGGCTGAGTCATGCAGCCACCCTCTTGGCTGCTGGACCTGAGCCTCCGTTCCTTCAGGTGAAGGGCACAACCGCAGAAGGCTGTCGTGGATGAGAAAGTGCTTAGTAAAGGACAGGAAAGCCACTTGGGACCAAAGGTGGCGTGTCCACCTGTTGGCTGCGCTGGACTGAGCTGTGCCTCCCGGAGGACCTGGTCACTGTCAGGTGGCCCAGGGCCCACACTGACAACGGGAAGTGCAGAAGGCCACGTGCACAAATAAAGCCTCTTCCCTGGCAACGGGCTGTTGGAGACGTCACCTTTGAGAGCTAGTCTAGAAAAAGATGTAAATAAATAGGCAGCTGCTTTTCTCCTTATTAGCACTTTGGAAATGTAGCTGAGGGCGCGCGGAGAGTGAGGTTCAGGAGAAATAGCCAGACAGTGATAGGCACCAGAAGACCTGTCCCTGGAGGGCGCTGGCTTGTGCGGTGGTTCACAGATCACAGCACCTGTGTAGGAGGCACCAGAGGAAAATCCCAAACCTTATTCTGCATACTGATGGGCCGCCTGCAGCTGGAAAGTTCTCTGACTGGAGTAAATATGGCCCAGTGAGCCTGAACTTCAATAACCTCACACTGCCCTGACTGTATCCACTCCAAATCAATTCAGAGTTGGATTTTGCATTTATTCCCTTCTCCTTATTCCAAGTGTCACCTCTGCTGTCTGCCAGCACCTTCTCTGTTCACGGCATCTAGTAATCACTCAATAAATATGAGCTACTTTTAAAAGCCTAGAGGCAGTGAATAAATGCCTCAGTTCCAGGCAAGTGAATAAAAGCCTGGGTTCCAGAACATTCTGTGAACTAATGCTATCACCTTGGACCTGGGTGTCCTTCATTGTTAAATAAAGAGTTGGGTGAGGTATCTACCCAAAAGACACAAAAAAAACACTGATTCAAAAAGACACCTGCACCCCCATGTTTACTGCTGCTTTATTTACCGTTGGAATCAACGCAAATGCCCAAAAGTAGATGACTGGATTAAAAAGATGTGGTACATATATACAATGGAATATTACTCAGCAACTAAAAATAAATAAATAAACACATGCCTTTTGCAGCAACGTGGATGGAGCTAGAAGGGATCATGCTTAGTGAAATAAGCCAGAAAGAAAAGGAAAAATACCGGGTGGTTTCACTCATAGCAGAAGCATAAAGGACCAGAGGAGAAAATAATAATAATAATGAACAACTATATACAAGAGACATTTTAAGGGGGTGGAGTGGGGAATGGGCTCAAAAATGGTGGGGGTGGGAGCCCATGGGACTATGGTGATGGCACACGGGTGAGATGGTGATGGGAAGCCCCACGGGTATTACAACTGAGATAGAAAAAGGCACAAAATAATGTAAAAAAAAAAAAAAGTAAACATTACTAAAAAAATAAAAATAAATCAATTAATAGAGAAAAACAAAGAGTCGGGTGTACCAAGATGACCTCTCTGCACACTCCCAGCTAGAGCCAAGGTTGTGCCTAGCTGCAGTTCCCAGGAGCAAGGAAGGTTATTACAACAAGCTACTAACTGCGAAGGTAAAGAGCGGAGATCTTGTTGCGATTAAATTCGCTGGGGCACCAAACTGCTCCCATCAATTGTTGTGTGTTTCACTTGAAGATTATGTTATATATCTGCTCCTCCTCCCCAAATCCTCCAGCCAAGAAAAGAATGAGATCTTGTCCCTTGTTAAGTAAATACCTACTCAAACTGGTCTCAATTAGAAACTCGAAGGTTCACGCCTCTTCCCCCCACTTCTGGGGCTCATAGGCCATAATCCTCTGTGTACTTGAAATCAAGCCCCAATGCAAGCCGTCTGTACCTCTCCTGTTCTCAAATACCCTGATGGCCATTCCTGGATATCAGAAAGTGAAGAGTCTGATGTAGGCAAAACTCAAAAGCTGGATTTCTTCATGTGCAGCTAGCTGCTCAGAAATACACATCCTCCTTTTCAGAGCCAGGAAACACGCCCCCGCCCCCAACCCGGTACTTGCCAGTGCCCAGCTTTGTACAAAGCACACATCATCCTCGGCCAGTCAAGGACAGCTCAAGCCTGTCTTACAGTCCAAGCACTGCTGACTGGTGACAGCGGACCTTCAAGACACCTTCAACTCTGTGAAAAGGGGCAGTAAGATGAGCAGTGACGTTTATAAGCAGTGGTGGTGCCACAGATGCTCTGTTCCCAGAGAACTGGCTGGGTTCTCTCTGTGGCTGGAGGCTTCATCCACACCCCAGGTGCCCAACCACCCGGGGGTGCATGTGCTGACATGTAGGGGGCCGGGTAGGTCACTCCCCCCAACAGTGCCAGCCAGCACCCAGATCTGATGGGATGGAAGCATGGTCTCCGTGAGACTACACCAAGCCCTTCCTGAGACGGGGCCATGGGGCAGGTGGGCAGAGAAGACGCTTTGTTAGCTAGTCCTGGATTTGATTGTCTCCTTTACCACATATTAGCCTTGTGCTCTCATCTGCAAAATTAGGGCTATAATAAAACTACGCTGCCAGTCACTCTGTGAGGTGAAATGAGCGGCTCTGGATAAAGCCCTTGACGTCTAGTGAATGATTAACCAGCGTGAGTTCCCTCTGGCCTCCTTTTTATATGACGTATTTAATAAATGCACCTCTTTTCATTCCACGACTCAACTACATCTCTAAATTAGTCACGTGGAAGAGGAAAAAAGTGGGAGAGGAGGAGACAGCACAGAAATTCCCAAAGTCTGGGATCTTGGATTTGGAAAGAGTCTAGATCTTGCTTATTCTCAGAGTACCCTTTTGGCTGAGCATTTACCCACCAGGGGTGGGTAACTTTAGGTGCTTGCTTTGGAAACTATTATATCTATTATTTTCCCGTCTCTAGATTGCACATCAATTGTACTAAAGTCCCTTTCCAACAAAGGTCTTATGCACTAGCGTGTTTTTGTCTTGATGTGGCAGATGGCAGAACCTATATAGAACAGGAAGGTTTTGGGGGTCTGTGGTGCCCCTCTCCTTGCCCAGTAACACTTTGTGAGGTCAGATCCACAAGTAGTTGTTTGGGATTTAGGAAGTAAATAAATCTCATGTAGAGTCAAATAAACAGGATGCCAGCTAAAGTGAACAGGCACCACACTGTCGAGATTTTCTCATGTAACACAGACC